ACCTATATGGTAGTTCCCGTTGACCTAGAATCACGAAATTTGGCAAAAAGCAAGGCCTTACAGCACAAATAAAGAAAAAAAATCCAAAAAATAAAATATATTAAAAATTAAAGTTTAGCAGGTTTCCTACAAATTTGTACGGAACCCTCGGTGGGCGAGTCCGACTCTCACTTGTCCGTATTTTTTTGTTTAGTATCTAATGACGAACTTGTTTTATTTTTTAAGTTACGGAAATTGTATGGTGTTATTAAAGTTTGGCTTGAAGAAGCTAAAACATAAATGTTATATGTACTAATAAATAATTTTGAAGTACCCATTTATAAGAGCTCGATAGGGGACTATTTGTCAGAGAAAGCGTTGCGTGACTAACTGGATGATTCTCGTAAATCGCGACCTGAATATTTATGATAAATAAATAATGTCGATTAGCATCAGCCCCTAAATTCCAAGTGATAACATTAAGTTAGTTTAAATATTGCCTACTGTATAGATAAGCTATATATTAAACTACTCCTTTTTAACTGAATGTCACGTGCACTCATTATCGTTTTCCTAGGTACGTTTTAACGGTTAGTATAGATTTCTCAGAAATGAAATATTTTCCTGCAGTAAAAAGTATCCTATATGTTGTCCCGGATAACCAGCTATCATTGTACCGAATTTAATCAAAATCTGTCCAGTGGTTTTCTCGTGATGCGTTCCCAGACAGACAGATAGACAAAAACTATAAAAACTATATATTCGTCCTCTGTATCGATAATAATGACTACTTCTAAAGATTTTCCAAAAAATATTTAATGTACAGATTCGACTCAGTTAGACTTTTATTATATGTATAGATTTTTTAATTATTCGGCTTGAAAATCGTTTTATATATTAAAAATAGATTAAATAAATTTAAAAAATAAACATTTGATGAAACTTTTTGTATTGAAACCAAAAAAAACTAATGGAATCAGCCAGCACGCCTAAAGTTTTATATTACTAGTATTTGAACAATTTTTCTATTCAACCCTGGGCTCCTTCACCAGATCATCTAAATGGTATAAAATTAATATATTGCTATGCGAATTTTATGAACTCACCCATTTTCTTTACTAATACAACAATGAGAATTAGATTAAAATTGTCAAAGATTTGATTTTAGTGTACAACAAAATGTGTTAAAAACGCGTACAATATCTTATATATTTAAACGAGCTATTCTTGTATATATATATATATATATATATATATATATCAATATATAATCTGTATCTCGGAAACGGCTCCAACGATTTTCATGAAATTTCGCACACAGGGGGTTTCGGGGGCGATAAATCGATCTAGATTAGTCTTATATCTGGAAAAATGCGAGTTTTCGAATTTTCATGCGATTTTCTTTTGCATTTTCACAATTTTTGCATTGTCAGTTGTCACTTGTCAGTTGTCACTTCTGGTGGGTGGGAGGCGCCACTGTGCAACTGTCTACACTACATCGTGTCCGTATTTATATCAAGTTTAAAAATATTATAGTGGAAATAATCTAAAGAAAAGTGTTAACAATAAATTATAAAACCTATGGGCAATATGTAAACATCACCAAGTCTTGATGTGTTAAAGAACAAATGAGCTTTTAAAAATTCACCTACCAAACAAATACAAAAGTGACAAACATAACATATGCATACTATCAGTGCAAACCCATCTTTTCCGTGTGTGATGACAATAAAACAAAATAAATTTGTGAAGTGAAAGCGTAAAATATTAAAACATAAGTTTATAACCTCAAAAACTAATACTCGGTATAAAATTGCAATTCAACTAGGTATAGGTAATTGGTGCTCTTTTTCAATCAGCTTTTCTACTTCCGACTTCTCACTTAAGATGGAGGACAAAAAACTGCTAATAAACATGCAACAAGAAATAAGACAGCAGAAAACAGAAATGTTAGAAATGAAAGAAGACATTAAAAATACAATCAACAATAATATACTTAAATGAGAGATTTAAAGACTTAAAAATAAAAATTGAAGTTCTTGAGAAAAAAATCCAGGAACGAAGTACCTCAATAAATAATTTAGAAAGACACATTAGGCACAAGAACTTGGTTATGTTCAGAGTAGAAGAAGGTGAAAAATCCTATCATGAACTAGAGGAAAAAATAGTCTTAAACAAACGCAAGGAGTTACAAGCCCAACTGAAGATAAAGAAAAAGACCTAGCCAAAACAGCTTTCTTTAAATATGACAAACTAATAATTGTGGATAATAATAAGAACATTTCTCACCAATACTCAAATAAAAGAAGTCTGCCTGTATCTCCAGAAACGCCTTACCTCAATTATAAACAAAAACTAACAAATAAACAACATACAAAGAAAACCATACCTGGTAATATTAAAGACTTTATATTACAAAAACCAAAATTAACTTTCAACCACACAAATGATAACCAGGAACAACTAAAAACAACACTGTAAGATACAGTTTATTAAACACAGTAGGAACCTCATCTTTATCCCCCAGTACGGCCGGTCACCATAGGGAAGTTCGACCATAACCCTCCAAAGAAAAACAGACATACAATGAATAAAGGTATACATATCTTCACCAGAAAAACTTCTAGAATTAAAAGCAGTATTTCCTACAACAAATCAAAAGAACACAAAGATAAAATTATAAATTTGATAGGCATATCAGAAACAAATTATATATTGGAAACAAAATTTGAAAAGAAACCCTTTGCAATCATACAAGCATAATCTCCAACGGAGAGCTCTATGCAGGACTACTTTGGAGTTAACCGAGAGGGGTCTATACATGAAAAAGACATTTACTAAATAAATACATTTAAATATGAAATTAAATACCTAATTTATAACTATTGTCAGAATTAATGTATGGAAAGAAATTTTATTTATATTTATTATTGTGAAATGTTTAGTATTTACTCAATTGAATTATTTAATTTATTGTCATTGTCTATTTCTTTGTTTGTTAATGATAATATATATACAATATAATTTCAAATAATATTAAAGATTTTTAAAATAACTTAATTCCAGATTACAAAATTATTAGTTAAAAAATTATAAGTTAATAAATAGTCACTAAATTACATTACATTACATAGACATTTTTTCTGATAGTTAAATTTATTTAAAAAGAAAGTGTATTTAATTATTTAGATTAGTTTTTTTTCTTCTTTTGTTTATTGTACAACTAAAATGGCTCCTTATATACTCTTAACCAGATAAAATTTTAATGGAATACTTTTATAAATAGCTGTGCATACTTTTAAATTAAATTTTGCAATTCAAATAGGTAAAATTATAATGTTAAATAAATGTTTTTATGTTAATTTAGTTAGTAAGCCTTTATAATAAATAAATGAATAAATAAATAGAGCTTTATTATTATTATGATTTCTTTTAATTATTTCAATAAATTAATAATTCCACGCAAAATATTATGTTCGATAATTTCGCATGCTCAGATATAAGCGTCATGGTCAAGCGGCCAATGCGCAAGTTTGACAACCACAGGTGTCTGGGATCGTATCCCGGTTGGATACAAAGTTTTTAATTTTGTTTTTTTTTTGTATTTATTCAAATTCTTAGTTTGTTTTTTTTTAATGTTTTTTTGTCCAAAAACTCCGAGCAAGGCTCGGTCGCCCAGGTACTTATTAATTATCCAGACATGATATCCATATAAATGAAATAAACTTTGAATGATTTTAAAATTGTTTCTAAATATTTTTTTAACAAAAAAAAAAGGATGACAGACAGACAAAAATTCTAAAAACTATAAATTCGTACTCTGTATCGATAATAATGTCTATTTCAATAAGATATTCCAAAACATATTTAATGTACAGATTCGACTCAGAATGTTATTATAATTGTATAGATTTCATAGTCAAATTACAAAAACGAAGATCTTATAGTACCGTGCTATATTGTCTATATGTATGTATGTATATTACGAGACTCGGAGAAAATTTAAACAATGGCATAACATGTAAACATAGTTCCTAATTGTTATTACGATAAAGAAAACATTTTAAGAAAACGTACATAACAAATTTCGAAAGACTTAAGGTGTACAAACAACATTTGGCCACCATCAATTATTACGACCTGTTCCTCCCTACATTTAGGGATGCGTTTTTTTTAGTATCGAGATAGTTCATACCAAAGGGACACAAAAGTCACAATTCAAAATATTTTTTTCAGCATTAAATTATTACAATTTTTTACTGAACGTCATGAGTCTGCTACCAGTTCGGAAATAAGAAGCCTCAGACCTGGAAGAACTGGCGAAAGAAACATAACATTAACTAGTTCTCTATTTTTAAAGTAAAATTATAATTTACAATATTTCTATCAAGTTGAAGTAGCCTGGAGGCGATCATTTCATTCCCAAGGTGTGCCATGTTTTATAAAATCATTTTTCACATTAAGTTAGATTAAGGAATAATATAGAAAATGTCTTAGAACTAAACAAGAACAATAAAAACAATAATATTTTAATATAATATATCTTTCAAAATCTATAGTAATATTATAAAGAGGCAGAGTTTTATTTGTTTATTTGAACGTGTTAATCTCAGAAACTACTAATCCGATATAAAAAAATATGTTTGCATTAGACAGCCCGTTTATTGATTAAGGAAGGTTATATAACATATAATAAATAGTCTATCTATTCTATATTAACCGTTAAAACTTACCTAGGGACAAACCCGAGCAAAGCGACGGTGAGTCGCTAGTATATAAATGACAATTTGTATATTGTTTTAAAACATAGCTAAGTCAAAAAAAACACCTGAATTATCTTTATTATATAGAGATACCATATGAAAGGGGCTAAAAATTTTCCAATACTGTTATAGTGACCGTGTAATAATAATTGAAGTTTATTGATAATTTACCACTTTGATTCTTAAGTTTTAAATCGTATCACTTTTTACGCCGGCAGTATAGCAGGCACAAACTTAGTGTTATGAATACTTACGCACCCAATAATTTGCCTTGTTTTGTACAGTTTCCGCGTATATTGTCATCGTCTTTGTCCTGCTTCGATGAACTATCCAACCTATTCATTTCCGATGGCCACTATAACTCGCACTCCACATATAATAAATTATAAACATTATAATTATATTACACTTTCTAATCAGAAGTCATATCTACGCAGACATCCATGCCTATATTCACTCAATATAATAAAAATATTTGAAGAAATATAATAAAAATGAAAATATTTTAAAAATACACTATTCACTGGTTTTCGCACAAATATCAAATATAATTGAAAAAATATTACGAATTAAATTTTAACACTAGCAACATTTGCGATGCAATAAAAAAAAACATTAAAGAGGCTTAAAAAGCTATCAAATTTATAATCTGCGTAAAATTTGGCGGCAAATAACGAAGGGTTGAATACGTCCGCTCTCCGAGAGATAGATTCATCTACTAACGTACCAAATTGGGCATCTCGGGATCACAGGAACTTGGGATGAAAGGTGTAGAGTATATCGCTTTCATGTCGATATTTAGGGCAGGTAACATAAGTGAGTAATCAATTTCATTGCTGTGTAAATAATATACCTATAGCTATCTATATTATGTATAAAGTATATGATTACTTGCAGAACCCGCGGCTACGCCTGCGTTCAATCTACAAAAAAAACTTTTTGGTTTTATGTTATACGAGTACAGCTATATATCCTTACAAAATACTAACATCTCGATTAAAAATGGGGGGATTGGGGTAGGAGGGTAAAAAATACTTTACGACCTATTCTCATACCTTTCAAATATACAAAAAACTTTTTATTAAAATCGAGCCGTTCCGGAGGGTTATGCTATAAAATAAAAATGACAGCCTTTTAAAAAGCTTAGTGTAATGCTAGTTAGTGATTTTTGCTTGTTTTTCACTATATGTCTGTTGTATTTATAATATCAGTACATACTGAAAGCGTCATCCTGTGGTAAATATTATCTATTACTTACTATGTGCTTATCCAGTCTATATAGTACTATAATCTGTATGTGTACTAAATTTGATCCAAATCGGTCCAGCCGTTCCAACTTGAAGAAGTAACAAACACCACATACACACAAACTTTATAATTGTACTGTTATTTTGTTATATCAACCATTAAATATAAGAGTTTGAAATAAAAACTCGAAGTATAAGTATATTCTATTGATTAATAAATATATATTTGCTTCAGATTTAGAAAAAAAGCAGTGTCATGGAACTAAACATGAAGACAAACAATATTTTTTTTAAATAATATAGGTTTTATGACAACACTGAATAAATAAATGTTTTTGAATAAAAATAGCTAACAGATTCTATTATAAGAAAGAAAATAATTAAATAAGCGAATATTATGATATCTCTGTTTCAAGGGTATGAACACTGGATGCTTAAAAATAAAAAAGAATATACAGTATTATTTTTATAATTCATATTTTATTCAAAAAAATATATAATAATTTAATCAATACACATTTAATGTACAGATTCGGCTTAGTCACAATTTAATACATATAATAAAAATGTGACTAAGCCGAATCTGTACATTAAATATTTTTTGGAAAATCTTATTGAAATAAACATTATTATCGATACAGAGGCCGAATCTATAGTTTTTACAATTTTTGTCTGTCTGTCTGTTACCGCATCACAGAAAAACCATTGGAGGGATTTTGATGAAATTTGATATTATGATAGCTGGTTATCCGGGTCAACATATAGGATACTTTTTACAGCGCGAAAATAACTCATTTCTGACAAAAAATACAAAAATTGCAATGTAAGAGTATACTAATATGTAAAACCTATGAATTTGGTTTTTGGTCATCTGAACGCGGGCAATGCTAGTATCCTTTATTTTAATATAAAATATCACTGTATATGCGGCGGATATAATTTTATATTATGTATCCTTTTATTTATTTATTACTAGCGACTTATCCTCGCTCTGCTCGGGTGCGTCCCTACGTAAGTTTTTAATAAAAAAAAATTTTTTCGTATTTCCGACGTTTTAATTGTTATTCTGCTATTCGAAGTGGAGACAAATATAACTAATCAGAAATCATGAAAATCGATCCACCGTTCTTGAATTACAAATAGTGTAACTAACCAGACTTTGTTTATGTATATAGATTATAGATTTAAAAACGTATTACGTTGGATCATAATATCCTGTCTTTATGTAGCTTTCCTTACTTGCGATAGTAATTTGACATAATTTGTTTGGAGCTTATGTCAATTTTCTATCTTTAGTAATATAAGTAAAACTGTGGTTAGATTATTGATAACCACTGTTAGTCGGTTTCTCCTGCTTTTATCCAGGAAGATCGTGATGCAAACACGTAATTATTCAACGTAGTTAATTAACAGCTACACCTTTTTTGACGGATACCTTATCCCGATATATTATCAGTTCCCGAGGGATATTAGTAATAGCAAAAAGTTACTTGTTTATGTAATTACGTAGCGGTAATTCATAATGAATAAAATATTGCAGTTCTATGGAACAAGCACTGATTAGGATTTTTCGTAACTTTTAAAAACATTTGTATACTAATTGCTTTAAAACTAAAAAGATATGATTTCATAATGTCTTTAAAAAGTAATTGTTCCATCCCTTGTGATTTTTTTTTTTGAAATTCATAGGTATTTATTAAAAAAAAAGTTAATCTACAATTTCAACAGATAACTTGACAAATAAAGATAAATAATGTAAGGTAGTTTGAAATTTGTGCGACGTCAACGTTAAAGAGTGGGGTCTACAGAATAGTATTTAAAAATGTGTCGTTACCTATTGCAGAACAGTTATTCATATTTTTCTCTTGTGAGTGGTTATTATGTCAAAATTGTGATTGAATATTAAAATAAATAATTTGTGTTGAAAAGTGTTTCTCTCTGAGCATTTCCTTTTAGCTCAGAAGTGAGATGAACTGTTGCCCACAAGATCGAAGTTATTATAACAAGTGACTTATTACTGCCGTTGTTATTTTCATTGAGTTTAACGTATTTTACTGTGAGTGTGTTTTAAATAATGGGGCGTCATAAAAAAGATAAAGACCGTGAATCTCGATTGCGTCGAAAGTTATTAAAAGCAGTGGAAAAACAAAAATTAACGAATAGGTTAGATGCACTAGAACGAGAATTAATAAAATACCGAGATACGCGTCATATTAGTAGTGAGTCGTGTGTAAGTGATGAAGTGAATTTAGTGAACAATCCTGTTTTGCGTTCAGTTGTTATCGCTCGTGAATCTGATGTCCCGTTGATATCGAACGAGTCTCCGCGTTGTGTGTCGGTCTGTGAGGGGCCACCTACAACTGCCGCCATGGCGGGACCGGCTGTGGCTGGAATTTCCACAATCCCGCCCATGGCTCCACCGTTCCTTACCGAGGCTCCAGTGCCTCTGGTAAGGACACAGTCAGTACAACCAGGCCCTACTTTGGAACAAGGGCACATGGTGGAACCTCTATCTTCCGCTCCACATTATGCGGTAGGTTCTACGCCATCAAGCAACAAAGAAGCATTATCAGGTATGCCAAGTACTGATAATTTATTAATACAACCATCCTGCTCCCCGGTAGTAAGATATGTGGGTCGGAATGATCCGTTACCCGAATTCGACCCTCAAATGTCAATGATTACAATGGAACAGTGGATTAGAAAAATAGAAGGTTTATCTAACATGTACGGTTGGGATGAAAAAACGATAATATTTAATTGTACATCAAAATTGAAAGGTTATGCCCGTCAGTGGTATGATCAATTGAGTGACTTAAATTTAAATTGGAACGAATGGAAAATACGACTATTAACGGCTTTTCCTTCCAACCGTAGTAAATTAAATATGTTACGTGATTTGGTAAATGTAGTTAGACGACCCGAACAGGATTATTTGCAATTTTATTATGATAAGTTAGCTTTAGGTAATGCGTGTGGTATACCTGAAAGTTTGATAATAGAAGCTATCGTAGGAACAATTGGCAATGATCTTATAGAAGTCGGGGCAATATCAGCCGGTTGTCGTGACTCATCATCGTTATTAAGATATTTGTCATCATTTGCACATCCATTAGTAATAGATCGTAATAAAAAAATAATAAATTATGAAAACAAAATAAAATGTAATATATGTCAAATGCGTGGTCATATTGCAGCGAAATGTAAAAATAAATTGGGTCATAGTAGTAAATTTAATTTATTGTGTTCCTTTTGCAATAAACGTGGTCATACTGAAAAAGATTGTTATACAAAAAATAAAAAATGCAGTTACTGTGGTAAAAATGGTCATATTAAGGATGAGTGTCTTAAATTAAAGAATCGTAATGCAAATAATGAAAATAATAAATCTAATAAAACCCAACAAGCTGTTCGCGTAATTAAAGATATATCGGGTAGTTCAAAATATTATATGCAGATAAAAATTAACAATAAGCCAACTTCAGCCTTTATCGATTTTGGTAGTACATGTAATACAATAACTGAAACAGTTTGTAAGGAATTAAATTTAGAATTTTATACTTGTACGCGTAATATCGTTATAAGAGGTTTCGGAGGCTCAAAGATAACACCAATTGGCGAGGTTGTAGTAAATGTTAATGTTGATGAAGCCATTTGTGAAACAAAGGCTTATATTGTTCCTGACATTGCTCAGGACATTGGTGTTATCATCGGGCAACCTTTTACGGAATATCCAAATGTTTACGTGATTAAAACTCCTACATCATTAAAAATTTACAACGCAAATATTTTAACCGAATTACCGAACATACATGAAACAGCAGATCGCATTAGACTCGTGACCGATGAAACTGTCGTTTTACAGCCCGGTGTTAATAAAATTGTAGTATCATGTTTACAACCGATTTTTGATTCTGTTTTGATAAATAATACGGAACATAACACTCCGCGTGCTGAATGTATCATTTCAACTTGTGAAAACGATATGATACAGGGTAAAACTGTTTTAAAAGTTTTTAATAAGACTAACGATTTCTTTAGCATACCCGAAGGACATTGCGTTGCACGTGCAACTATAACATGTGGTACAAAACAA